ACTCAGCAGTGAATTCATCAGGACCTGGATTTTTCTTTGTTGGTAAGCTTTTAATTACATTTTCAAATTCATTGACTGATATTGGGTAATTGAAAATTTTTATATTTTCTTGATTCAGCTTTGGTTATTTGTATATATCTAGGAATCTGTCCCTTTGTTTGTGTTTTTCATCTTATGAGAGTAAATATTTTCAAAGTAGATATTGATGATCTTCTGAATTTCCACAGGATCTGTAATGGTTTCACTTTTTCATTCCACTGAATGAATCTAAGTCTTTTCTTTCCTTTTCTGGATAAGATTGCCTAAGGGTTTATCAGTTTTATTTGTTCTTTTAAAGGATAAACTCTTCAATTCATTAAATCTTTGTATTGTTTTCTTGGTCTCAAGTGCGTTAATTTCTGCTCTGATCTTTATGATTTCCTGCCTTCTATGGGCTTTGGGCTTCACTTGCTCTTCTTTTTCTAGAAACTTGAGGAGCAACACTTGGTTGTTTGTTTGTGCTCCTTCTGATTTCCTGGTGTGAGAATTCACCACTATAAATTTCCCTTTTAAAACTACTTTCTTTTTATTCTACAAGTTCCAGTATTCTGCCAATTTTGTTTATTTGTAGATATTGTTAAATTTCTTCTTTAATTTCATCTGTGACCCATTGGTTGTTCAGGAGGGTGTTATTTCATATCCATGTGTTTGTGGAGTTTTTGTGGTTTCTTTTGTCATTAATTTCCAATTTCATTGCATTTTGGCCAGATAGTATGGCTGGGATAATTTCAATTTCTTTGCATTTACTTAAGCATGTTCTATGAGGTAGTATATGGTCTATTTTAGACAACACTCCATGTGCATCAGAGAAGAATATGTATTCAGATGTTGTTGGGTGGAATATTCTGTATACCTCAACTAAGTTCATTTGTTCATAGGTTTGGCTCAGTTCTGAAATTTCTCTGCTGATTTTTTTGTCTGGTTGATCTATCTATTTGTTATAGTGGGATATTAAGGTCGCCCATTACAATTATATATTGCTCATTTGATTTTTCATTTTTATTAATATTTGTCTTTTATAACTGGGTACTCCCATATTTGGTACATATATATTTATGATTGTTAGCTTTTCCTCTCAAATTTTCCCCTAACAAGTATGTAGTAACTTCTTTATCTCTTTTGAACACTCTTGCTTTGATGTTCACATTGTCTGCAAACAGAATAGCTACATCAGCTTTTTTCTGGATTCCTGTTGCATGGTGTATTTTTTTTTATATCTTTTGACTTTCAGTCTATAAATTTCTTTTCAGTTAAATGTGTTTCATGTCTATAACGTATTGTGTAATAATGCTATGCAAATTATTTCTCAGTGTACATCTTTAACCCAGATGCCACCTTCATGTTAATTTCTGAAATCTACTCCATATTTCATGTTTCCTGTTATATGTATCAGCAGTACTACCAAGTCTCAATCATAAATTCTCCCAGACAAATGCATTCTCTTCAAGGGTCACATGTTATCCTAAATGTTGGCACTATCAGCTCTTTCTACTCAAAGTCAACCATTAAGCAAGGGTAAACTATTTACTTACCTACAATATTTGTAACTGACAATAGCATAACAACTGACCAGAGTAGCTTAACAATAAAGCACTTTTTAAAACTTATATCAACAAGTAAAACAATGGCATTTTAGGTACTGGATAACTCTAAGTTATAAAAAGGTGATCAGTGCACAAGGGACTCCTATATTTCTATCATTTGATGGTGCAGACTTTGAAAAGCTCAAGGTGAGGTTGTACATGTAGCTTGGTATTAAGTTCTTGACTAGTATACAGAAAGCCTTAGGTTTAATCCCTATCACTACAAAAAAAAAAAAAAAAAGTCAGATTTGTTGGTGCCATTCCAAACTTGTGTGAAAACAGTGGCCCTGATCTAAAACCATACAAACATAAAGAAACAAGAAAAGAGATAACATGGATATAATATCCAAAAGAAACCTTATTTGCCAATGTTAATATTAAATATATTGACAGAGATTCTGAAATAAGATTCCACGGGTTTGAATCCCAGTTCTGCTAGAAGTTGGGTATGTCGTTTTAAACATATTGCATAATCTTTCTGTACTCCCATTGTTTTTTAAAAAATAAATATAATAATAACCTTTATTAAGTCTGTGGTGAGAATTGATGGTTTAATTAATTTCAGACCTTATAACAATGTCTCATAAGAGACCTCATAAGAGATTCATATATATTAGCTATTGTGTGATTATTATGTCAGAAACAATACATAAGAATAAAAAGAAAACTTAGAAAACTTCTTAATAAAATTTAAAATGCATTCAGAAGTTATAAAAATAATAACATGCGTGTAACAAGGCTTCCAATGTTAATAAAGTAATTTATGTAAGATTTCCAAATTACACATGATTTCTACCTGCAAACTGCATGATCGTTTACAAAAAAGCTCTAGAAAACTGATATACTATTAATACCAATAAATTAGTCCTTCAAGTTTTTTAAATGCAAGATTCACATAGAGTCAGTGTTACTCCTATATTAGTAATTGCCAGTTAGAAAATCCATATACCCTATGTACTGTAACAACAAAAAGCCAAACGCAAATTACTTAGAAATAAATGAAACTAAATGTGGTGAAATCTTGTATCAAAAATTTTAAGACATTTTTGAAAGATATGAAAGAAAACTAGAATATTTGCTAGTGTATATCATGTTCATAGACGGGAATGCTCAAGCTAAGATATTCTGGGAAAAATAAAAATCTCTTTAATCTCTTCCTTAAAAAAGGAAATGCTATATTAGAAATATGAATCTTTCTATAATAAAAGATTCTTCAATTAAAGGAAATTTATGAAGAAAATTATTAAAATTAAAGTGGATGTTTCAAATTAGATTTTTTTTTGTCTTTTTGAGACAGGATCTCGCTATGCAGTTCAGGCTGACCTTGAGCTCACTTTGTAGCCCAGGCTGGCCTCGAACACCCAACGATCCTCCTGCCTCAGCCTCCCGAGTGCTGGGATTACAGGCGTGCTCCACCATGCCCAGCTTCAAATTAGCTTTAATGAGCTTTTTTATGCCCTCATAAATAAACTATAGATTGTTTTATTTTGTAATATTGTATTAAAAAATTTAAGGTCACTTTTGATGTTTCCAAGCTTTAATCACTTAAGAATATTTATAATAGTATTGGTAGATAAACTATATTATTTTATGGTATTTGATATGTAACTCAGTGCTTAATCTCACTGTATAATATTTGGCAATGAAAATTTCTAGCATTTCCTAAAATATTTAAAAGTGTAGAGTTTATTGTGCCCTAATGACAATTATACAAAAACTTATCTGTTGATTGGATAACAGCTCAATTAAAATCTCAACAGAGGTTAAGAAATCTGACTGATATTTAAAAAGAAAAAGACAAAAAGAGCCCCAAAATTTTGAAAATTAATGTGGGACCTTCTCACCTGCTGTCTATAGTCATGGTAGAGTTATTGGGGTTCATACAGTGTAATGTGGTATTAGTACCCAGAAAAGACAATTAAAACAAGAAAAAAATTAGAGAATAGCGTAACACATGTTTGTACATAGGAAAATTTTACATGTGATGAAAGATTTTATTTATGTTAAATCAAAGGAGGATGATAAGTCTATTGAAAAACTAGTCCTTTCAACTAGATGAAAGATGGAGGTAGATACAGTAATATATCTAATTCACACTGTACACAAATGTTTAGTGGGCAATAATGGAGAAGAAAAACACTCATAAAATAAATGTGACTAAACTATCTTTGTTAAAGGAAGCAAGTAAAAATGATAAAGTTGGCTGCCTAAAAATTAATTCTTAAACAAAAAGTATAAAATAGTTTTAAAAGCAATGTCACAAGGGGAAACATATTTTCGCTGCATGAAAACAAAAAAGGATCAATGCAAATAAAGAGAAACAGCAACTAATCAATAATAAAGTCGGTTAAACGGTATGATAACTAAGAAGTCAAGATGATTAATAAATGTGTGAAAGATGTTCAGACTTGCTAGTATTTAAGAAAACAAAAGTCAAACAATATCAAAATCCTCAAGAGATTGTTAAAAGTTAAAAAGACATATAAGACTAAGAATTCGGGGCTGGGGATTTAGCTCAATGGCAAAGCACCTGCCTGGCAAGGGCAAGGTCATGAGTTTGGTTCCCGGTATCGGAGAAAAAAAAAAAAAAAAAAAAAAAAGACCAAGAATTCATAAAAACAGGGAACTTTACCCATTGCTGAGGGAGGATAAAAGGGCATGGCCACTGTGGAGAATGTGTAAAGTTGACTGACCAATTCTTCTTCTGCCTTTATGTTATAGAGAAAGTCATGTGTTATCATAAGAACACTCATTGAAGCAATTTTAGATCACTTTTATTTTTAATTTTTATTTTGAAATAATTACAGATACACAGGAACTTGTAAAGATAGTACAGAGAAATTTACTGTACTGTTCACCAAATTTCCCAAAATGTCATTAATAATCAAAAGTCATACATGATAATATTAGAATTTGTAATTTTAAATACAAAATCAAGCATCCAAATAATACTTATGATTACATGTTAACTTTCTAACATTATGACTTTTCATAGTATTTTTAGAAAAATATGAGAATAGAAATGCTAAGTATTTGATTTAACTCAGTGACTATCTTCGAAGAGGAAGGGAGAGTGTGCTGTGGAAATTCAGTTGGGAAAATTAGATATATATGCAATATTTTACTTAAAATAATTTAACATTCATGTGTAAAATGTAAGAATTGGTAGCAACAGCAGGATAATAATTATGTCTGTTGTATGATTTTATTGTTTCCTTTGAACTTCCTACTTTTCTTTTTTTTTTTTTTTTTTTTTTTTTCAGTTTTTCTCCAGTACTGGGAACCGAACTCACACCCTTGTGCTTGCCAGGCAGGCGCTTTTGCCGCTGAGCTAAATCCCCAGACCCCTTCCTACTTTTCATAATAAAAATAAGTGAAAAATACCAGACATGCTTAAAATATAATTTTGTTATTTGGAGTTAAGTCCCAAAATGCAAGGTAATTACTAATTATTTACCTTTATTACATGCAAGTAGATGCATCAAATAAATGTAAATTATAAATGCAAATTGTTTTTAAAATTTTAAAATTATATAGGTTTTAAACATTTTAAAATATTCTCCCAAGTAATGCGTTTGTGCAAGCATAGTTATCCTCTTTTTTAAAAAAGTAAAAAAGGAAAAGCAAAATATTTAAAAACTAGTAGTGACTTGTAAGAGAAATGCATATCAGAAACTTCAATAAGTTATTGAAATTGGGAGTTGGCAAAGCATTTACTCTTTAGGCAGAACACAGGTAAACACAGCCTGAAACACATGTGCTGTTACCAGGAAGAAGCAAATAGGACTGATAGAATTCCAGAGGGAAATCAAACTGAAAAAATCCAAAACAGTGGAGGAGTAAGAAACAAGCCCACAAGCAGGAAATCAAATGCATCTAATGTAGAAAGTTCAGATTCTATACTGAAGAAACTGAATAAAATATCTGAGGTGCATCAGGAGTTTTGGGAGTCCCACAGCGGAATTACTGATTCCAAAGAAATCCTGTCAAGTCCAGTTCCTGTGAAGTCAACATGTTCTCTGACCTTTTTCTTGTGGTGTGCTCCAGTGTGAATCAACAACCACAGGTGACTTGGCACCTCAAAGAAAGCCTGCAACATAAAAGAAACAAACAAAAGAAGATAGATGCTTTGCCATAAAGGAAAGTAAAACTCACATGATTTGCTAACTAATATCTTCAGCAAAATTTGAGACAATTTTGTACCCACAAATGAAGAACAGGGTGCTATGAAAAGGGAAGATAGGTTAAGAAAGTGCTGGGTATTGAACGTATATTTTTGTTTTTGTGGTGCTGGGGATCAGATCCAGGGTGTTACACATGCTAGCCAAGTGTTCTACCACTGAACTACATTCTGGCCTGAAAATATGTTTTTTTTGAAAAGTGCATCTGAATGGTTAGAAAGAAGAGCAGGGAGAACAGATGGAGGAGGAGGACAAGGGGCATGATCGTATGAGTAAAAGTCTTCCCAGACAGGGAAGAGAGAAAGTAGAGAGCGCTGGGCACGGTGATGCACGTCTGTAATCCCAGCACTCAGGAGGCTGAGGCAGGAGCATAGTTGCGAGTTCGAGGCCATCCTGGGCTACAAAGTGAGCTCAAGGCCAGCCTGAACTGCATAGCGAGACTCTGTCTCAAAAAGACAAAATAAATAAATAAATAAATAAATAAGAAAGTAGAGAGCAAGGATGTAGAGAATATTCATGGTGGTGAGGTACAGATGATCATGCTATCAAAGGCTGAGGAAGACCAGCAATGTTCTAAGTGAAACTCATGATATTATGGCTGGTTGTGTTGCCAGTTGTCTGATTTGGCTTTGAAAACCTCACTTCCATTTTCTTTCCGCTCATTCAAGAACAGTGTATTCTTTCTCTGCTGAAACCACCCAATGTTATTTTCAGGTCATTATAGGAAAAGTCTCAAAGTGCTAGCATACATGCCCTTCCAAATTATACTTGAGTAATGAGACCGAATTGAATCATTGTGCTTTAAAAATATTCTAATGGTCAAACTATATATTCCTAATTTACTTCTAGAGAGCTAGATTTCTTTTTAAATAGGGAAAACTACTATATCTTTCATAGCAAGAAATAGGCTTCTGCCTCTTAATGTACACAAAATAAGTAATTTCTCTAAATAGGGAAGAATATGAATACTAGGTTTTCAACCGCTACGGAAGATCACATCTCAGTATGATACAAAGTGCAGAACTGAATATATGTTTGTTATCAAATAAATGAATCTCAAAAAGGAATCTGAAAATTAAATATGAAAATACTTAAAAACAAAATAATGAAACCTATATGGACAAATATGTTTTTATTTTAATTTTCTTAAAGCTACAATTTGTTGGAAAATTTTGTTGAATATAAAACTTTAAAAAATTTAAATGTTTTCTATCTAACTGTGGAAAATATGTAAACAGATAATGTATAGTATATGTACATACATATATATGTATATGAGTGTCTATCATATACATGAAGCCATGCACATAGGAAGAATGTAGACTCTATGGTTCAGAATGCTAGTTCAGAGGTCAGAACTATACAACAAATTGTGATGCTGGATCTTGGGGATCTCCTTTTATGTATAAGGCAAAATTTTGACAAGATAAAATAACTACTTTTTATTTTAATAATCTATGATTCTTAGTGAATCAGTGGATCAATTGGTGAATGCATGTGAGGTGGGGTATGTACGTAAGGTAAGGCTGGAGGAGTTATCCAAAACTATTTTGGAATTTATCATAGACTCTTTTTGGTTGTTCATTTACCAAGGAATCCTCTCCCCTCCATTTTTTGTTAATGTTCCCTTTCCCTGGTATACTAATTTTTCTTTACTCCAACCATTGATTCGTGCAAGATTGAACAGCAGTACATATCAGTGGTGTCCCTGAGACCTTAGCTGAATCATAATAGTGCTATAGCCCCCTAACCACTCTGCTGGGTCCAAAAGGAAGGAGTGACACTTGAGCTGAGTAATCAGAACCTTTATTGGCATCATTCAGATTAAAGCCAGGAGGAAGTTGATTCTTCCCGCTAGAATTGCTAAACATATTATGATTTCATCTTCTCTATAGACCTCTAGGATATGGAAGAAACTTGCTGCTATGAAGAGAAAATGTGGGTGTAATTGAGAGAAAGCCTAAAGTAAAAGATGGCGAAAAAGTGGAAGAATCCTGGTAACATTAAGAGTCTAGCTCCATCTCTCCAGTCAGATGCAGTGCAGCCTTTATTTTCTGTTTTGTCTTAGCATAAAATGGATTTCATTTGCTCACAGAGAATAGTACTTGTCAACCCTGTATCTTACGATACAAGTATTCATAGAAGAGAGCAAAATAATTTAGTTAAATAGCCTCTATTTGGCATAATTGTTAAGTTCTCTGATCAGTGTATGGGTTATGAACATTCTTTCTCCAAACTTGGAACAGTAGGCATAGCTCAAGGAACATGCCAAAAGTAAATAAAGTTGAATATTTGCAAGTAAACTATATTAAAATAGTTCTCTTATATTATCTTTAGAAATACAGAATTGCATATTCAGCAACTAGCATTTTGCCTAGAGTATGTCAGATATTCAATGAAAATTTGTCCCTCTCCCCATTAAAAGTATTTTATCATAACACACAAAGAGGGCTAGTCTTCTTCACAATATATACACAGGTATACATTTATCATTAGTCTCTATCTTGGTTTGAAACCACCATTTGTATTTGACAATAAGGAAAATGATACTTTTTCCAATACTTAAAATTAATGATGCAGTATGAATTCTTCATAATTTCATAATATGTCAGTGTATGCATCTGGGTTGAGGATGTACTAGACTAACAATTTGTCCACAATCATTTTGTTTTCCTATTTTGTTAATCTATAATTCCTCGTATACCAGAAATAGAAGGAAAAGAAACAGAATTGAAATTGAGGGCTTTAAAAAGATAGTACTTATTTTTAAGTACATAGAAACATTTCCATTACATCTTTGGAATCTAAACAGCCAGTCCTTACCCTGATATCTGACATTTCAAAAAAGATATCGCCAATTAAAATTTGGCCAGAATCAGGACTTATTACTTATATTCCTGAACCCGATATTGATCAGTAAAATGAATGGTATTGGATATTCCAAACCTCCTTTATTCGTCTGATTTGGGCTATCCTATAATAGTCCCTATGGATTGTTTCAAAGAGTGAAGTGTGTAGGAGAATTCTGTGAGTCTCATCAGGGTCAGATCCACTCAATAAAGCAAAGAATTACCTTTGGGACTTTCTAAATTCTTCCTTAGTATTCCTATTCAACCGTAAGGATTTCCCTTTCCTATCCATAACAAGGTTATCCCTTAGTTGGGACTCACACCTAAGATTTTCTTCATTTCCTTGTTCTAGTACAGATTTGTATTCCTTGATTTCATTGAACTCATTATAAATTCCAGCCAAGCCAAAGAAACTTTTTTCGACAATGTCCCAAGATTCAAACATCACTTTTTCATCTCCTTATTTACTCGGTGTTGTGATATTTTGTTTTTTCATGAGCTACTTTTACCACTATCAGATACTAATAGTGAATAACTGCCAGGTAGTTACCACACCTTTTTATTTTGATAGGAGCATCTGACCATGATTTAAGACATTGTTATCCAATACTTAGACTTGCAATCCTACCACAGGGAGCCTTCAGGCCAGTTAAGAGAATATTTGGGAAACAGAAAAAAGAAGGAGTAATTTAAGTTTATCTAGAGTCTATCAAACTGTAATCTAACATGGGTTTTCAATCAATGACAGTTCATTACAAAACTTACAGCCTTGATTGAGCATTTCACCAATATCCCCAGCCTGTTATCTTTTCCATCATTTTTATTGCCATTTTATAAGCTGGGATTTGTGTTGAAATTTTCTACTCTGCTTTGGAAAGGCCAAGGGAGGGGGCGCTCCAGGAACAGCATTAAAAGCTGTAGCTCCAGCAGACATGACTGGGCTTCAAGATTGCCTCTGTGACCGAAGGGAAGCTTGCAGGTATTTCACACCATAGCTCTCACAAAGATCTTCCCACATGGCTTGCTTAGCTTTTACTTTCATTTTGTATTAAGCAAAAAGTCATTTGAGGGCTATTTAATGCTCTGGTTTGTGTTTTCCAATACCAGATAAAAGTTAAACAGATGAACCATTTGGGGGGTAAGGATTGGGAAATCCACGGCTGCTAAAATGCTTTAAAGTTCCAAAATGGTTTTGTTTTTTTAAACCCATTTTCCATGTTCCAGCAGCTGTGGGTTTTCCCAGGGCTCCCCCTGTGGCTCAAAAGGGAGCTGCTTAATGCTTAACAGATGAGCCAATTGAGTTTTTAAATGCAAAATTAAACTTAAAGTGCACAAAGAGCACAGGGGAATCCACAGCCAAGAATAGACAGGAGGAGTGGAGTAAGCTGTGAGCCCTAGGCTATAGGGAGACAGATTCTTCTATAACTAGCAGCAACTGGGAAGATAGTACAGGCATATTTACCTGTTAATCATTCCCACAATATGCTACAATTATACTCAATATTACTCAAAGAAACATTTTTCGTAACTATTAGCTTAAGATTCATTTATGTGTATCCATTTTTCTTTATGAATAGAAAAAAATGGACGAGTTATGTGGTGTATAAGAACAAATGTGTTGCAGTCTCCATCACGTTTGCTCTCAGTCATGGTGAGAGAATTTGGTTTCCTGGGCATCTTCATCATCACATCCTTTACTTCCAATGCCCAAGTCACCCTTCAGAGCTTGAGATTATTGAAATATTCTGCTTCAAATGTGAAGAGTTGGGTCAATCGTGAACTTTGATTGGGACACAACTTGCTAAGTCACTTGATAAACTTTTTGCCATGCATCTAAATATTTGAACATAAAGAAACTTTATATTTTAGTGCTTAAAAATTCAACCCAGAAGAAAGTTTTGGCTAACTTTGTTGAACGTGTTCTCTGATTCAAAATGAATCAGTCTAATAGTTTTAAAGAAAATCTCCATAGTAACTGACTAAATCCTTTGATTTTAGAAGATCCCAGTATCATCAAGCTTCACATATCAAAAGTGTAATTTCTTTATGATACAATTACTAAACTCCCAACCAAGGAAATACACATGAGAACCAGTCTCATGATTTCCATGAGTTTTTCATGGCAGTCAGGCTCATACAACCTTCCAAATATCTGGACTATACACATTGAAATCATGCATTTTTTAGCATTTCAAGAGGACGTGCTCCTGTCTATTCATTTTAATTGCATTTGAAGGACAACCAGGATAATTAGAATAATGTGAAAAATTTTTAGAAAAACACAAATCTAATGTAAAACTCATTGCTCAAATCACTGATATGCAGCTTTATATTTGGAAAACCCTAAAAACTCTTAAATAGCTTACTTTTTGAAGAAATAATTTTAATGGACGCGAACCAAAAAGGATATTTTCATGGTAGCTGAAACTCTCAGTTAGGAACTGAGAAAATGCTAGAAAACTATAAGTTTACATTTGATATATTATCAGGTCCAGCAGTGACTAGTGAAATCATTAGTTTCAGTAAGTTTACAAGCATGCACATATATACACATAGCTATATCTGTCTGTACACATACACAGCTTTCTAAAGCAGCCTATTCAATCACAAGCTGCACTCCTTGGCATTTTTGCCTCTTAAATTTTCCATATCAATTATATTTTAAGGTTTGAGAACTATTATAACCCAGGGCCATCATCTTTCAGAACAGAACAAGTCAAAAAAACACTCCCCCTCAAAAAAACTTACTAAAACTAGGTATTATTTGGAATTTGTCTTCACATTCATGCTTACATGTCTCAATCTTAATTGTTTAAGGGAACAGTTGTGTCACATTATATTTAAAGTATCAGTTCTGCAAGGCAGTTTCTAAAAAAATGGGTTCCTGGTGTGCATCCGTGCCTCTCTGTTCAGAGATGTGTGCCTCTTAGGTAATTCAGTGCACTTGCGTCATTGCCCAGATCCAGTATGATCAGCTTTCCTGAAGGAAAGATCCTTACGAGTTTAGGCTCCTGTGAAAGCAATCATATGATTAATTGCTTTAGTGTGAACCTAGCCATTGTGATTAAAGCCTAAGATATGTGTTTAGGTAGAGCAGAGTTTCCATGCTCCCAGGCATTCTTTGGCGTATCTGGTACTTGCCAGGCCTTGAGAAGATATGCTGAGGCATCAGCATATTTCCCTGAGGAGCTGTAGTTTGGGAGATCATTCAATCAACAGATCATATTCAAAGAAACTGGGTTAATTTGAATATGCAATCATTGAATCACATATTCATATATATGCAACCTTTCTAAAAGGATGATCATCAGAATTCAGGTTTGAATAAACAAGAACATATTCAAAACTTGACATATTTTGTGCTTCAATTTAATGCTAATCTGTGCTCCCTCCCAAAGGATTTTCTACTTGTCAGTTAATGATGTCTATGTACTGCTTCTGGTATATGTTTCCTGGACAGAAATTAAAAAGAAGTCTGCTCTTGTTTCAATGAAATGTGATTCTTATCTTTTCACAATTCCAAATTTGGTCATTTCTATAGAATTTTGTTAACAGTGCTTAGGCCACATTTAAATATACATATGTTTATACATGTATATACATACATATGTACTTGTAAACACACATAGAAATGGGCAAGCATACATATACACACACATATATGAGTATGAATATATGTAATTGTTGCCATAAAAAAACTTTCAAAACTTTTGTTTACTTTCTTCTTGTTTTATGAAATTGCATATAATTAATTTATAACTATACCTTTTTTTTCTCCAGTGAAAAGTTAGCTTCAGACTTCATTTAATTTTTACCAGGAAATTCTAAATCATTAATCAGGTAGACACAATCCTTATTTTTTTTCATTACCCAACATAGTTTTGGCACTTTCACAAGTAGAGGCTAACATGCCTTGACACATAACAAACAGCTAGCCATGTTCCAGTAATTTAAATCCAACACCATTTTGAAGAGATTTTTAATATACTCATGAGAAAAACACAAGAGTAATTGATGATGGAATTACATAACTTGCTTCCTACTTTTCTTAAAGTCTATCTTTTCTTAAAGTCTATCTTTTCTTAAAGTCTCATCCATTATTACATTAAAAATAAAACTATCATTTGTCAATTGTACAGCAATGGACTTTGATTAATTTAATTATATGCTTCTGTATAACCTCATAAGGACTGACCTGTATATGTATAAAGCATTTCAGAAAACTGACCTCCTTGGAAACAGATGTAGGTAGTAAGATTTACCATTTTAAGAAATGTTAACAAAGGAGTGGGCTGTATTATGGTATATTTCTGATCATTTGCCTTGTTCGCCAAGAAGTTGCTTCATTTTCAGGGTGGATCTTGAATGCTAACAGCAGATAAATCATGTGCAAAGCTGGGTGCTTGCAAGTCATGTTTGGCAATATATATATTCTCTGAGGGGGAAAATGTTACACAACGCATACAGCATCAGGTGCTTAATTTCAGAAATGGAATTTTTTTTCTTTTAAACTTGTTAGACTCCAAAATTCCTACCACTATAAAAATTTGCTCATGAAAAGGTTAGACATGAAAACTGAATGGAAAGCAATAGCAAACAAACCTCCCTACTGCAAACAATCAAATATGTAAATATTAAAATGAAGGCAACCCCCCCCATATAACTGATTAAATTGTCACTGCTGGAGATTACATGGGGTTTTATTCCCTTAACAGCCATATTCAATTGGACAGACAGAAAAATATATTGCCACAGACAAGACCCACCACCTGGGTACACTCTGCTTCCAGTTGCCTGCAGACATCTTATCCAAAACTTTGCAGCTACCCCTTTAAAGAAAGAAAAGTATTAGATGTGATCATTCATCACAGATAATCTGTAAAGTCCTTCCAAACTTGAAGATTCCAGTAAGGCAAAAACTCCTCCTACCACTTCTATATATTAGACTGAAGATAACTTCTTATGTAATCTTCGCCAGCACACCCTTTTATAGATGATAAACTCATTTCATTCATTTTGTATGAGACTTTAAACATACGTATAGTATATGTAAATAGATCTGTTATCTGTCTATCACAGACAATCCTCTCTGTGTCTGCACTTTATTTCTTAACTGATTAGTGTATATTTTTCTAGCTTATCAATTTTAACCCAAAATGCCCTGCCCCCTCTTCACCCCCTTTGCTCAATTGTCTCTTCCAGATGGATTTATTTGATTCTTACAAAAACTGGATATAGAAATGGAAGGATTACCTTTGCCTCTCTCACGCCTTGCCACGGTTCTGAATGGATTTCACCCTCCGCCTCCATGTAAGAGAAGTTGGTGCTCAGTGATGATGTCGCCTGCCTGTGTCATTCTGCACTGTAGGCTGAGCAGAGAGCTGCCTCCAGCTGCAGGCGAGGGGCCTTGGTGTTAAGGTTGCACAGAATCACTTTGTTTGGGAGATCATTCTTCAGCACAAAGAGAGAAAGCCCTAACCACAGGATTGTGTAGAAACTAAGAAAGACGGCTGGGTGATGTTTTTGAATTGGAGAAATCAAAAAACAAAACAAAGCATAGCAAAGCAAAGTAGAGAGCCGTAGGTGCTCCAGTGCAGTGACTAGTAAATAGGACCAAGTCTATTTGCCCTAAAATCTTCAGTAGATATATATGTGTTCCTTTGTCATACAGAAGGGAAGGAATTGATCCCCAAAGAATTTTTAGGTGGCTTGATGTGTGGCTGGAAACATTTGTGTTGCTGTCAGCAAAATGATTCCTGTGAACGTTCTTACTTGATAAGATCATTGCTATATCTCTTGGAACAACTGCAGTTTTCAAACTTTATCTTCACTGATTGGGTCAATGTACAAGCAAATTTCTCATTTCTGCCATTGCCTTGTCAAAACCCCCAAATTCTTTGCATTTGGAAACACACACACATATCATGCTTTTTCAAAACATCTCATTTTAATTTGAGAATTTTAAAAAATCATTGCTTTCTAATGTCTATGCCCTTTTCTCCATTCAGATATATCTTCGTACTGTCAGAATTGAAAGCACAGTTGTGTGTGTTCTACTGGCTTAAATAAATGCATCCTTGGAGCCTTTACTGTGTGTTTGTGTTTGCTTTTTTTTCAGTCTTTCCCATGTTTCTTTGTTTTTCTTTTGTCTTGTGCTCAAGACTTCCCAGGGTTTTTGTTTTATCACATTGTTCTCTGTGTATTGTTCAACTGTTCTTTGACAAAAGTTCCATATTTAATCTAATTTAATTGTTTTTGTTTCATTTCCCCTATAACTTTATATTGTTTTTATTTTTTTCTTCTACTGCGGTATTTTGTTTACTTATGAAAATACAATTCTAAAAGTCAAAGTAGTACTACATGAGTTTTTTTTTTTTTGCTGAGAGTACTTGTCTTTTAATATTTTGGCTTTTTGACTCACTTCCTTTCCCAGTTCTGTCCATTTTAAATTATCTTTTCATCTATTGGATTACCCTTTGCATTACTAACAACTTCTTTTAATTCTTTCCCTAGTGTCTTGATTTCTTAGTCATCTGGTCATTATTAAAATGTGGCACCATTTCTTCAAGCTTAGAATAAGCACTGTGCTCAGTTTCTTATATATTTTATTGAAGTGTAAGTATAGCCCTGAAAGGTATTATTCTCTTTCTCTGCAGGATAACATAGTAGATGACACAATGGATGACAGAGGTCTAATGACTAAGATATTGCCTTAAGACTACATAATAACTGTGAGAGCAAGGATTTGTTCTCAGAGTTACCTGGCACCAATTCACTTTTAACAAAACCACATTAAGGCCAAAACTCAAATTTTTTAGGTTCTGAAAGTATATATGGACTCTAGCTCAGTAGTAGTATGTGTGAGGCCTTAAGATTGATCCCCAGCACATAAAGACAGAGACAGAGACAGAGATAGAAAGAGAGACAGAAACAGAGGGAAAGGGAGGAAGAGAAGACTCCATTATTCGTATGTATTGTATGCTCTTCTACTTGAACAGATTACATAAAAACTGCTCTTAATATCTTCTTTTTCATGACATTTAACGGTGTTATATTTTGTGGTTTTAAATAAACTCTCTACTTTAGTTATCATCTTCAAATTTTTTTTTACTAAAAATAAGTCCAAGTTTTTGCTTGCATACCAGTCTTCTCATATTTTTATAACTGTAAACAAACTGTACAGCAAATTCCTACTAGTATAATAAACAAAAAATGGCAACTCTAGAAGCATGAAGAGGCAGGTTGCCTGCAAACCTCATAGAATTATATTAGGCTCTCCAATAATGACATCAGTGATCAAATATGTTTTTACAGTTGTCAAAGTAGTGGACCAGACATCTAATCCTGGTCTGCTTGCAGCTGGCTTTCCTCATCCTTCCCTCCCTGTGTTATATTTGCCTTTGGGGAGGATAAGAAAATTATGTGTTTTCTTAGGTTCCTAGTTCAGATTTAGGAATTCTCATACTTTTAGCTATAGTGGTAACTTACAAGTGTCATTCTCTAAACAAGTCACTTTGCAAATTCCATATATGCACCTTTTATTCATTATTGCTTTCTTCATCTTGTTTTTCTAATGGCATACTCATATATTTACTTGTAAGAAGCAGACATTTCTATTTAGTATTCTATTAGATGTCTCTGAAATTGCTACAGCTGTTGCCATGAAAAAAGGTGCGTTTCTAGATTTTGGACAGGAGCTCAGCAAAATTTCCTCTGATGGATTATAGTTCGGAAAGTTTTTCTTGTATTAAGCTACAATTAGTGCTTGTACACAGCACTCACCTGAGAAACTACAGAACAAAGTTGGTCATTAGCAGACTTGAAACAGCTGGGCAGTTTTGTCCACAAGGACAGGATAGCAGTAATGAAGTGAGGAAGAGGAGATACCTGGGTGTGAGGAAAGCTTGACACGAATTAGTCCTATCATTGGTCACATTTATGGCTGAACCAAATTTATCTCATTCCTCTTAACCTGTTGCTTACTTTGAACACTGGAGAAAATAATGTCTACTTCAAAGGTGTAGCAGAAAATTTTAATTGAGTAATAAATATAAAGCATTAAAGACAGAATTTGATATTTAATAAGCCAATATAAAAGAAAATGGTCATTGCCAGAATATTTATCTCTACTATCATCTGAGCAGTAGCTAATATTTGATTTCTCTTTACTTGTTTTGGTATAATGTACTGTGCTATAGAGGCCTTTTGTGCAGCTTTTGTGGAGCATTTGAAGCCCTAATATTTTCTTCTGATGGTGTTTTTCTCCCCCACATTATAATGACTTTATTACAATATAACTCCCATGACAACTTTAAGATGAAGACCAAATCTATGCTAACAGAAGCATACATGAACAGATTTTGATCATGTGTAGCATTTGGAATATATCTCTAATGAGAACTATTTAAAAGTGCAAACCATATAATAGATCTCTCCATCCTATATCAGTTTTTTCTGGTATTTATTTCTCTAATAGAAGTTACCAGAGCCAAGTTTGGCATACAGCAGATGTTCAGTACCTTACTACTAGTATGATTAACTGAACTGTGCTTATACATCTTATCTGCCTAACGCAAACCATAAATACATTAAGGGGTGCTGGGTGTGGTGGCATATGCCCGTAATCCCAGCACTTGGGAGGCTGAGGCAGGAGGATCGTTGCGAGTTCAAGACCAGCCTGGGCTACAAAGTGAGCTCAAGGCCAGCCTGAACTGAACTGCGTAGCGAGACCCTGTCTCAAAAAGACCAAAAA